GGGCATGCCAGCTCCCTACTTTCCTGTCCGGTTGATGTGGGGAGCTGTCTGGCTGGTTCAGGGGTGTGGGATTTGGGGTCTCTGATTCAGTAAGGGAGGGGAATATTCCCATGTTCTGATTGGTGCCCTGGATTGCAGGTCACTATCTGGGAGGCGCTAACCAACACACGTCCAGGCTCCAACCCCGCTTCCTATGACGAAGAGTTGCAGCTGGAGCGGTGAGTGCTGGGGTGGGATGAGCTTCGTGACAGGACCTCCATGGGCAGCAGGCCCCTCCCTTCCTTCCCTGGCCTCCCACATAGCCATTCTCTGGGCTGGCAGGGTGAGGCAGGGGCTGGTCAGTGGGAGCGGGGCTGTGGGGTGGTGAGAGGCAGGTGGTGGGGGTGGGGCTGTGAGAGGCAGGTGCTGGTTGGTGGAGGGCAGGGCCATGAGGGAGGGATGTTGGTGGAGGGCAGGGCTGTGTGGGAGGGGCTCGTTGGTGGGGGGACATGGCTGTGTGGGAGGGGCTGGTGGATGGGAGCGGGGCTGTGAAAGAGGGGCTGGTGGGTGGGGGCAGGGCTGAGAGAGGCGGGTGCTGGTCGGTGAGGGGATGGAACTGTGAGAGGCAGGTGCTGGTCGGTGAGGGGTGTGGCTGTGGAGAAGGGATGGGGCTGTGAGGGAGGGGCTGGTTAGTGGGGGGATGGCTGTGCGGGAGGGGTTGGTTGATGGAGGCAGGGCTGTAAGAGACAGGTGCTGATTGGTGGGGGTGGGGCTGTGAAGCAGGGGCACAGCTGTGAGGGAGAGGCTGGTCTTGGGGGGTGGGACTGTGAGGGCAGTTGCTGACACGCATCTCTCTCCCACAGCGCCATCCAGGAGAGCATGTTCCTGCAGTCGGGGCAAGGCCTGGCTGCGACTGAGTCTGGTGGCGGAGGCAACAGCGACAACAGCATCGTCCCTCCTGATGACAGCCCAGCCCCCAGCACCAATGGCTCCTCCTCCTCGGCCCTGCCTCCCCCGGCCTACCCCAGCTTCGACGAGCAGCTGCGCCTGGCCATGGAGCTGTCGTCGCGGGAGCAGGAGGAGCAGGAGCGCCAGCGGCGTGAGGAGGATGAGGAGCTGCAGCGCATCCTCCAGCTCTCCCTGACGGAGAAGTAATGCCCAGCCTACCAGCAGGGGGCCCTGAACCCAGCCTCCCCCAAGACTCCCAGGGGCTCCCCAGTGCCCTGGCTTTGCTGTTGTATTTTTAACCTTGAGGGGGGGTACCCGTCCCATTCCCCACCCCCTGTCTTGCAGGGGGCAGGACTGGACTTGACGAGACACCCTCTGCCTTTCCCAGGGCTCTCAGTCCCGCTGCCTCTTGAGTCTTATTTAATTTAACTCGTATTTTTTTTTTTGTTTTTTTTATGGTTATTCTATTCCCCCTGCCTGGTGGAGGAAAGTTTTGTATGGCTAGCAGGAAATAGAAGAATGAGGGAACGGAGGAGAGGAGCAGCAACAGAGTGGCAGAGGCTAAGGAGAACCCTCTGCTGTAGAGAAAGTAGTTTCCAACTGGACTCTTAATTCATGTTGGTGGAGGTAGTGAGATTCTGAAACTGGGCATAAAATATATAATACACAAACACACATGCTGACTGTGTCCTGTCAGCCCACGTGGGCAATAGGGGTGAGGGCAATGAAGGGGGTGGGGCTAGAGGTGATGGGGCAGGGCCAGAAACCTGATGACTAGGGTGGGGATGCTACATTGGTGGGAGAGGTGGGATGTGGCACTCAAATAGAAGCAGGGCCAATAATTTTCAGTCCCGTGTTTCGCATCCCGAACCCCCTGTGCGTAGCTGCCATGTCCTCTCCTGCCTGTTTAATTTATTTTATTTATATCTCTGCAGCTCTAGAATGGGGGGGGGTGAAAGGTGGGTTTTGGTTTTTTAACTCAACTCCAAAGGTTGGAAAGGGATCAGCTGCGTGGAGCAGCTCCTCCTGGCACCCGCAGGGGCCAGGTGCGGGCCTCTGTGCAGCAGGAACCATGAAATAAAAAGGAGAAACCAACCAACCCCCTGGCTCTCTGGCTCCCTTCATTCTGCATGTCGCACTCTTTGGCCTGGGCCTTTACTGGTGCATCAGCTGCCTGAGGGAGGAAATGGAGCTAGTATCCTACTCGGAGCATCCCCTCTGCTCTGGGGTCCCTCTCTGGCCAGCTTCCCCCAATGCAGACAGGGTCCCCAAGGGGGCACCGTGTCCTGCTGATACTGGGAGGTCTTTCTGCTTATCTGGGGGCTTGGTTGCATCTTGCTTCTTTACAGGACAGAAACACCTGGGTGTGCCAGGCCTGGCTATGTGCCCACTGCTGCTCTGGGTGGGTTCTCATGGTTTCTAAGATGGAGGACAGTGAGTGCTGCTAGAGGGCTCACATGCTATTTAAAGGGATACCACTCTATTCCTATCCACTACAGACTTGGACATGCTCAACAGCCAAGCAAGACCCAGTTATGCCTGTGCCCAGTGGGCAAGGGGGCCATGCCTGAGAGACTAGAGCAGAGAAGGGGCCAAGTGGCTGCACTGGCTTTCATTAGCTCCATGAATCCCTGAGCTGCAATCCCCATGTCCACCCCCTAGCTTACCCCCTTCTTGCCACTCCCCTCCCATTAGTAATGTCTTAAAAAGAAGAATTTCTGCTCTAATTTGGTGCTCATCAGTTGGAAAGAACAGAGGAGAAAGACATGCCCGTACGAGATGATCACAGGATGACAATGAGCCACCAATGTGATATGGCTGTGCAAAAGGCAATTGGAATCCAAGGATGTGTCAGGTGAGGTATTTCCTGTACAGGTAGGGAAGGGTTCGTGCTGTTGTACAAGGCACTGGTGAGACCTCATCTGGAATTCTGTGCGCAGTTCTGGGCACCTGCGTTCAAGAATTCAGAACTGGTGCAGAGAAAAGGGTTTCTAGGATCTATGACACGGGAGGTAACTGTCCCACTCTACTTAGCTCTGGTGAGTCCACACCTGGAGTCCTGTGTCCAGTTCTGGGTGCATGCTTTGGGAGGGATGTGGGCAAACTGGAGAGAGGCCAGAGGGGAGCAACAAAAATGATCAGAGATTTAAAAAACCTATGAGGAAAAGTTAAAAACGGCGCACATTTAGTCTTGAGAAAAGATGGCTGAGGGGGGGACCTGATAGATCTTCAAATACGTTAAGGGCTGTTATAATGAGGCCGGGGATCAATTGTTCTCTGTGTCCACTGAAGGCAGGGTGAGAAGTAATGGGTTTAATCTGCAGCAAGGGATATCTAGGTTAGATGGTAGGAAAAACTTTCTAACTCTAAGGATAGTTCAGCTCTGGAACCAAGAGAGGTTGGAGGTTTTTAGGAACAGGTGGGACAAACCTTGCCTGGGAATGGTCTAGGTTTACTTGGTCCTGCCCCAGCATGGGGGGCTGGACCTGATGACCTCTCATGGCCCTTTCCAGCCCTACACTTCAATGGCTTTATGAGCAGGGGGCTGTTAGACGAGAAAAGACTGGGAGAGTTTGGTTTGTTTAGCCCGGCAAAATGAAGCCGGATCGGGGCTGTCTATCAGTACAGCAAGGAGGGAGACGAGCGATTTAAAATGAAGGACAATGTTGGCACAAGAACGAAGGGGGAGAAAGTGGCCAGGAATAAACAGGTTGGGAACTAGAAGGTTTCTACCCACCAGCGGAGTGTAGGGCTGGCCCACCTCCCACTAGGAGTAGTGGGGCAAACAACTGGCCTGGTTTTAAGGTAGAGTTTGGTACATATATGACCAGGATTATATGCTGGGGTTACATGGGAGAGCAGGGGACTGGATGTGATCACCTGGATGGTCCCTACTAGTTCTGTGTCCCCATGGCAAAGTTTCTCATCTCCCCATCAATTTCCCCTCATTAGATCCCAAGAGTTGCTGTCAACATGGCCTTGAAGTGGAGCAATCAAAGCACCCCCACAGATGGGCAGCTGCTGCCTGGATGGGGACAGGGTGTTATGCCACCGGGACAGAGAGCTGCTGCCCTGGCCCATCAGGCTTCAAATTCCAAAGCACTGCACTCCCAGGCAATGGGTTTGGTGGGGCTCCAAACCCCGTGCACCTGGGAATGCAGGCCTGGGGAATAGGCAGGTTCAGTGGCTATTAGGGATTGAGATGTATTAACATACCGGGGGGTGGGAAGCATGGGGCTGGGATAGCAGGGGTCTGTGGGGCAGGACACAGGGGCACTGGACGAGCTGTGGGGGGCACCCCAGGGCTGGGAGAGCAGGGGTCTGTGGGGCAGGACACAGGGGCACTGGCAGAGCTGTGTGGGGCAGCCCAGGACTGGGAGATCAGCGGCTGCGGTGGAGATTGAGGGGCACCACGCTGGAGGGCACTAGCAGGCAGGGCCGGCTTTAGGAAGTGCGGGGCCCAATTCGAACATTTTCGGCGAGGCCCCGGCAGGGATGACTTAAAAAAAAAAAAACATGTTAAAAAAAAGACTTTCATTTCTTAGCAACCAGTTCCCTATAAAAAGTTCTGATTTAAGGGATGTGCCACAGTATGTATTTTTTGTACCAATAGGGTTACCATACGTCCATATTTTCCCGGGAGGAATTTTTAAATTTTAAAAATTCCTCCCGGATGGCGATTTAAGAACCAAAAAGCCTGACATGTCCAGGAAAATACGGACGTATGTTAACCCTACCTAAAGTTCTTTTTTAAAAAGATGGGCCTGAACTAGAAATGAGCTCTGTTTCACATGTGTGGGTCCCCACCACTCCCTGGGGGTGTGGTGTGCACATGTGTGGGTCCCAGCTGCTCCCTGCCCCCCTCATTGAAGCAGGTGTGCAGGGTTACTGCCCGGGGAAATGCAGGGCACCACTGGACATAGGGCTGGCTGTAGGCAGGGCAGGGGCTGACTGGAGGTAGGGTCTGGCTGCAGGCAGGGCAAGGGGTGCGGGTCTGGGTGGAGACAGGGGTGCGTGGGATGGGCTGGCTGGCTTCAGGCAGGGCCGCAGGGGGATGCGGCATGGGTTGGCAGGGCTGGAGACAGAGGAGTGCAGGACTGGCTGGCTTCAGGCAGGGGGGTGCGGCAGGGGTTGGCTGGAGACAGGGCAGGGGTGCGGGGCTGGCTACAGGCAGGGCAGGGGGTGCAGGGCTGGTGCGGGCAGGGGTGTGTGTGGGGCTGGCTGGCTTCAGGCAGGGCCACAGGGGGGTGCGGCAGGGGTTGGCTGTGGGCAGGGGGTGCAGGGCTGGCTGCAGGCAGCGGCAGGGCAGGGGGGGCGGGGCTGGTGCAGGCAGGTCAGGGGGTGCCTGGCTGGTGCGGGCAGCGGGTGCGGGGCTGGCTGCGGGCAGGGCAGGGGGTGTGGGACTGGAGACAGGGCAGGAGGTGCGAGGCTGGCTGGAGATGGGCTGGCTGCGGGCAGGGCAGGTGATGCGGGGCTGGTGTGGGTACAGCCCACCCTGTACGGTAAGTGCCCCCTCCTCCTCCCTCCCCCACCGGGGTTGCAGCAGCAGCCTGGGGCTCGGGGGCTATTTAAAGGTCCCAGGGCTCCCCTGCTTCCACCGCCCCGGCCCTGTAAATAGCCGAGGGAGCCCTGAGGAAGCGGTGGGGCTCCGGCGGCTATTTAAAGGACCAGGGCGGCAGAGGCAGCTGGAGCCCCGGCCCTTTAAATAGCCCCTGGAGCCCCCCGCTACCTCAGGGCTCTGGGGGCTATTTAAAGGGCCCGGGGCTCCCCTGCTTCTACTGCCCCGGCCCTTTAAATAGACGCGGGAGCCCTGGGGAAGCGGCGGGGCTCCTGCGGCTATTTAAAGGGCCGGGGCAGTAGAAGCAATGGGAGCCCCAGACTTTTTAAATAGCCCCCAGAGCCCCGCAGCCCTAACCCAGGGCTCCAGCAGTGGGGCTCTGGTGGCAATTTAAAGGGCCTGGGGCTCCAGCCCCTGCTGGGAGCCCCAGGCCCTTTAAATTGCCCCCTGGGGAAGCTGGGCCACCCTGGTACCGGGGCTTGAGCGCGGGGCCCTCTTAGGGGTGGGGCCCGATTCAGGGGAATTGGTTGAATTGGCCTAAAGCCGGCCCTGCTAGCAGGGGCTCCGCTCACCCCACTTCGCCTTCTTGGCAGCCGCTGTCTCCCGGGGAAGCCCTGGGGCCGGCCTGTCCCTTTAAGAGCCGCCCTCAGGGGAGGCGCCTGGCGCTGCAGCCTCCCGGCTCTTCCTGGTCCAGGCGGCGGCGGCGGACGGCCGGGGTCGCCCGAAGTTTGTGGCAGGTGGGGTCGGGGGGCGCATGGCGCTGGTCACCGTCCGCAGATCCCCGGCCGGTAGCGGCCACGGCTCCCCCACCGGCCGCAAGGTGAGTGCCTGCCCCGGCCCAGCCGAGACCCTTGCCCGGACCCATCCCTGCCCCAGCCGGGACCCCTGCCA